CCGGTTTGTGAATCTTTGGTAAGCCATAAATACGTGGTAGAATTCCATCACTGACATACAAATTGTTATAATTTTGTTGAGAGATAAATTCTTTTTTCTTCCATCTTGTTAAGAGATCTCTCAACTTATTGGTTAGATTACAAACTGGATTTTTCTTTATAATTTCATAAGTATTTTTGTCCCCTAACATTTCAAGCATTTTTTGTCTATACTCAACTCTATCCATTGCAACAGTAATGTTCCCTTTATCTGCTCGAGTGAGAATAACATAACTAGTATTATTTTTTAAAAAAGAATTAGTTAGCTTCCACATTGACCAAAGTTTATTTTTTAATAAGCTGTTCTGATAAAAAATAAGAAGATAAACTACTTATAGTTGGTATTATTCTATTTCTGACATCCAACCTAAGACTGACATGTACCTTATTGATACTGTTTTCAATGCTTTTAATATATTCTAGTATTGTTTTTTTGTAATTAAAAGATGGCATAGAGAAATTATCTCCTAGTTGTAGTAAGCAACAAATTTTTTCCGGAATGTGCAAAGAAGTCAGGTTAATGAACCATTTATCTTTCAAGTTAGTCAAAGACGAACAAGAAAATTGCATGTCAATCTCAGAAGGATTTATATGAACATCGAACACAATATCTGTTTTTTGATGGACATAATCAGTAGGAGAATTATGTTGTGGATGGTTATAACATATACTGTAATTGATAGGTTTGATGTCGCGAGTAACTTCATATGCCCGTTTTTCCAAAAGCCAACTCATTTTTTTATGCAATCTACGCAATTCATTTTCATAATTATGTGTAAACATCATTTTTTGTTTGTGGAAAAAGGATTCAGAAATGTAACTGGGAATGCATGATGAGATTTTTCTCACAACGTAAAGCGACTGTTTTTTAGAAGAGTTAATAGATCTATAAGCGTCGTTAAGTTCTATGTTGATTATCCGTTGAATGTACATTTTTGTCGAATGAGAAAATCTTTGTACCGTTTTATAATGAGAAAGATTAAGTTTGTGGTTAACAATATAATGTAAATGTTGAGATGTAATACTTTCATTTTTGCAAAATTTGAGAAACTGAATGCGAATCGTATTCTTGATAATGTTCTTTTGATGTTTCGACCATGATTTCAAGTAAGATACAGCGATTTGACCAAAGGTTAAATATATAAAAGAGAAAAACGAGATGTGTCGTTGACGCATTGTTTCAGCCAGCGTGTCAAACAATAAAACTTAAAATTATAACTCTCGAAAATGTCAAATAACATAAACATTAATGGGCTAATGAGAGTCACAGCTG